GATCATGCTGCTGACGATGATGAGTTTGCTGTTGGTGATGGTGATGGTGGTGCAGAAGATGCAGATAGAGATCATGATGACGATGATGACGACGATGACGATGGTGATCATGCTGATGACGATGCTGATGATGATGAAGAGGAGGAAAAGAGGAGGAGGATGAAATAGGAGGAGGAGGAGGAGGAGGAGGAGGAGGAGGAGGAGGAGGAGGAGAGGGAAGAGGAGGAGGAAGAGGAGGAGGAGGAGGAGGAGGAGGAGGAGGATGGAGATAAAAAGGGAGGATGCACGGGAGGACGACGAAGAGGCCCACCGGGCAGGGGGTCCGCACGTCCTCCGCGCCGCCCGCGTGCAGCCCCCTCCGCTCGCCCGCCACCGCGCCGGGGGAGGGCGGCGGGCGCAGCGAGCCAGCCCTGGCCTGCGTCCTCGGGGGCGCGCGGGGCTAAAAACTATTCAAGGGGCACAAAGACACACAAATAAATACACACAAATAAAAGGACGCCCCATCTTTTCTCATATTTTCTGGGTTTTTGTCTTCCCGCCCAATTCCCATATTTTGCCATATTTTCTTGGGGGTCGACGATTACTTGTGTCTGTGTGTTTTTTCCCCTCCTGAACTATGTTGCTCTCCTCTTTTTGGCGGCGCGCGCAAGGGGGTACAGGGCAAGTTTTACTACATCGGTTTTTTCCAAACAAAAAAAAACATGGGATTTTTTTTATACATGATCAAGTTATGAACAAATTAATGCATGAACTCATCGTTATTTTTTACACAAGCTCCCTGCATGTTGAATGCATGATCCGCACGCGGAGCATGTATCAAAAAACGGCACTGTATGGGGAGGGGGAAGGCTTCTTAGAAGGAGGCTGCTCCTTAGAGGGCGCCGGCCTTACATCTATAGAGAAGGTCCGCGCCTTCTAAGACGCGGGGGTGCGTCTGAGAAGCCTGCTGCCCTCCCGCTCCCCCGCCTGCGCGCCGCCGAATCGTACTAAAGGGCCACTTCCCAGACATCATTTCGAGCACCCCGAGAAGTATCGAAACGGAATCTGCCCGACACGCTGGCGAAGTGCCGACCGAGCGTCGCCTCCCAGGGTCCGACAGGTGAAAACCGTCCAGCTCCAATAATTTCTTGGTGCTCGGAATTCCCTCTGGCGATGGAAGCTAAAGCAGGTTGGCACATCATGAGGCTAGCAGAAGCCTCCGAGATGCACCGGCGATGCGTCGTCGACGTCGGCGATGCCTCAGCAACGTCGGCGTGAAGCCGATCGGGCTGCAAATCCAGCCGCATCGGCGATGCATCGGCGCTGCGGCGCGATCCGTCGACCCCCCCTCTGTGCTCGGAGCCCATCCGGGAGGCCCAGAGCTCGGGTGGGGGGGGGGCGGGGCAGACCCTGGCCATCGCTCGGACGTCCCTCCCGTGCATCCCCGGCGTTTTTGCTCAGTTTCGAGCGTGGCTTGTTCTGCCAAGTGATCCGGGATGCTCCTCGATGGTCCTCGCCGAAGGAAAAAATGCTCACGTCCGTGCGATGCCAGGGACCTGCTGGCGTCGCGGGAGGATCTCGACGGGAAAGTTTGGCCCGTTTTCGGGGTCTGGGGGGCCCCCGCTGGGCCCCCAGAGGAGGCCGTCAAAGAGACACGCTCGCGAGGGGGAAAGCTGGTCCTGGGGAATGGGGTCCAGACCTCTGGATGACGTCTGGGGTCTGGGGGGGAGCGGGGGGCAGAAAGGGGTTAGGAGGGAACTCATGGAGGGTCCTCGTGGGAGGGATCAACGGCTAAGCATGTGGATGCCACGACAATGGACACCCTGACAGTCCTATCATTGAATCCCACCAGCCCTCTGGGCGTCGGTGGCTTAGAGCGTTTCCTCTTCCACCCCTCCTTCTTCCCCTTCGGGGAGGGGTTTACACCTCCCCCTACCCCCTCCCCACTGACCTGGACAGGGGGTTCCGCGGCGCGTTGGAGCGCCCAAGATCGACCCCTGGGAGGGCTAAAATTCGACACCCCTCACGAGGATCGTGGCTCCTGAGGGGGGGACTGTAATTAGGGAACCCCCCTTCGTTGATCGATCTCCTCCAAGATGGCTCCGAGGCCCCCCAAGAGGCCCCCAGGAGGCCCCCAAGAGACCCCCAAGAGGCCCCAAGAGACCCCCTAGAGGCACCCAAGAAGCGCCAAGGAGGCCCCACCAGGAGGCCCCAAAGAGGATCCCGAACGGCCCACAGAGGCCCCCCCGAGGCACCCAAGACGCCGAAAAGCCCCTCAGGACGACCCTCTACTCGCCTGGGCGTCGTTTCTGCACGGGCTGGTGGGGATACGCGAAGCGTCTAGAATTTAACATGTGTTTTAAATGTTGTTTCACATGTTTAAACCATGTTTAACACATGTTCTAGACATCTGGAAAGTATTTGGCAACATGCTTCCTCTCCATGGATCGTTCTCCACAAGGCTAAGCCCAATGAAGGTGCCATGAGACGGACTAAGCACGGGCTAGGGGGAGGCATGATAGGGGGCATGGAGATTGGGATTCAAGTCTTCGACGACATGATCTTCTCAACCCTGGCGCGCTCCCTGGACTCCGGCCTCATGGGGCGCATTGTATCGGGCCCGACGCGCGTGATCGGCCCTAGGGGCAATCAAATACTGATCTGGGACGATACGTTGCTCTTGGAGATGGGGTCGGGACGTTTGGGGCGCCGCGGGCTGGAGAAAGAGCACACTGTCGGAGGACAGGGGCGGCGGCGGACGCAGCACATGCTCGGCCGACTCGCTGGGGCCTTCGGGCCTCAGAAGAGCCTGGCGGGCGCGCCGTCAGTGGCAGGCCCCGGGCAGCCCACGGCGCCCGTCTGCATCTGCTGCTGCATCCGCCTCTGTTTCTGCTGCCGGAGATCGGACCCCCACGCCTTAAACTCCCGACGAAGGGCCGAGTGCGATGCGAGGGGGGCACCATATCGGCTACACGCAAGAGCGGCCTGGGGCAAACGTGACCTCTGGTGCGCGGCTTTTGGGAGACCGATGGGGGGCCAAACACAAGCGCGCAAGAGACTCTGCTACAGTCGAGGCGTTGACCTAAGGAACCCTAAATAAGGAACGAGGCCCCTTTTTCCCATAGGTTCAACCTCGATTTCCCAGGGAAAACCTCTGGAAATCCGAGGCAAACTTTGAAGCAATCGAGGAACACCGAGCCCCTCCCCAACGAAAAGGGTTCCTTCTTCAACGCCCCGACTGTATCGCACGGCATTCGGCGAATGCGGGGACCCCAATGGGCCCGCATCAGGACACTGGCTGGGCTGGCCCGGGCTGCCCCTACGGTGCCGTGCAAGCTCGATTGCGCGACGGCACCTGCGGGCCATTGCCCGCGTTCGCCTCGATCCTGCGCTGCTGAGCCCGCGAGGAGAGCAGTGTCAAGCCGGATCAGGCGAGGCCTCCAGGATGGCCCCAAGAGCGCCCAGACGCCTGGCAAAGGCTGTGGCATAAAACCGGACCAGAGATCCCGACCCACAGGCTGCCCTTGCCGGACTACCTACCAAACCACCCCAGCCCAACCCGAAGACCCGACTTTGACCCGAATGTCGAGTTTTGGGGGGGTATTGGTTCCATGTGTTTTTCAATGTTCCCCGACCCCCCCCCCACACTGGAAATGGAGGGCAAATTGAGGCCTTCGGGTTGGGTTGCGGTGGCTTGGTGGGTGGTGATTGCCTGCTTGCCAGACCAGCGATGCGGAGCGGGCGGGGGAGGCGAGGGAGGCGGAGGCAGGGCCCGGGGGGCAAAGGCCAGAAGGTGAGGAAACAGTCCCTCTGATTCGGGGCCCCCGAGGCGGCGGACGACTGAAGTTCGGGGGTGGACAGAACCCCCTTTAGTAAAACGTGGTTTGGTGAAAACGATCTCGGGCCTAAACCTGGCGGGCACAAGCCTGGAAAACTGCGGCCGCGGCAACCTCTCGAGAACCGAGAACGGACAATTCACTAATCGACGTGTCAGGGTGGGGGCTCTGTCCACTCCCGAGAACTCTAAAGATTGGTCGGGCACGTCCCTCTACATGCGGATTTCGGCAACAAAAATAAAAACAGGCCCAACATTAGTCACAAAACATATCGTCCCCAGATTATGTTTCCACTATGTTTGAACAGTCCTCCTGTAGAGCCAGGCTTGATTCCAGAGTGGCAGGGCTTGTGCGAGGCACCGCCTGGAAGGGAACTGTGCACCGCTTCGGCGCGCGATGGGCTGCCTGTCTCAAGGGGCACAAGGACACACAAATAAATACACACAAATAAAAGTATGCCCCATATTTTCTCATATTTTCTGGGTTTTCGTCTTCCCGCCCAATTCTATATTCCCATATTTTCTTGGGGGTCGACGATGAATTGTGTCTGTGTTTTTTCCCCTCCTGACTGTCGCTGATTTGACGATGCACCCTCAGAAGCCCCTCGTGGAATGCGCTCGGAGAAGCAGAGACCCAACCGACCCTCCCCGCGTCGAGTCCCCGGGCTGCCCCGTGGGGTCGGCGGCACGCAACGCATCCAGAAACACAGAGGAAGAGGCAGAGGAAGATGATAAAGGTGGATGTATGCCTCCAAAATGGAAGGAGGTGGAGGTGGATGAAAAACAGAGGTGGATGTATGCCTCCAAGTGGATGTATGCCTCCAAGGTGGATGTATGCCTCCAAAGATGATAAAGGTGGATGAAAAACAGAGGAAGAGGCAGAGGAAGATGAGAAAGGTGGATGAATGCCTCCAAAGTTGTGTCGGGGTAGAGAGGGACGGGAGATCGCGCCGCATCGCCACTGCATCGCCGATACATCGGCGACGTTGGCGCCGGCGTGGAGAGCATCGGGCTCCACATGAAGCCGCATCGCCGACGCAGCGGCAATGCGGCGCGCTCCTCCGACCCCAATTGCTCAGGCCCCTATGTGGGAGGCCTGGCGAAGAGGACGAGATTAGGAGGAAGAGGCGGAGGAGGTATGGGGGAGGGCGCTTTCTTGGGCCCTCGGGCAGAGCCCCTCTGCTGCTCACTCGTCGTCGGACACGCCGCCGCCAGAGGCCAGCCTGAGAGTGCCAAACGCCTGCATGAACATACACTCAGGTCGGGCATGTGCCCCTGCAGGCGGATGTTGGAGGAAAAGTCCGAAAGGTTCGAACAGATACCCAACGCATGCCCAAACATACATACGAAGAAACATCGTCCCCAGAGTAGATTTGAATATGCCCCCTGTGAGGGGACACGCCCGACTCGAACACACACCTCATGAGGTCTGCGCGGACTTCTTGGACTGGCGGCGACCCCTCCTCCCTGGCGCGCGGAGCCCGCCAAGTGCTGCGCCCAAGGCGCCTCCCAAGGGGCTCCCGGCGTCCATCCGAGAAACCCGCGCGGAACTTCGAAAGTTTATGTTGATACAATTCCGTCGGGCGTGTCCTCCTGCAGACGGTTTTTGGACGACGAATTAAAAGTACTCCAAGGTAGAGGAATCGTGTCCAGAATATTTGATTGACTATCTTTGGGTTCTCCTCCTGTAGAGGGACAAGCCCGACTTCATGATACAACTTCTTTTCCTTCCTCGGAACCTGGCGGCCAGATCCCGCACGCGGCAGCGGAGGAAGTCCACGTCCTCCCCCGGGAGGCCCGCCGGAGACCCCGCCGAGGTGCCGCGCGCATCGGCCGCGGCGCGCATCGCGGTGGCCATGATCTGCATGGCCTCCGGGCGGGCAACGCAGCAACAATGACACGCCGTGGGGAACCCGTCGGCATGCCACTGTCGAACAAACAGCACGTCTTCCGCAAGAGGAAACTCCTAGGAAGTCTTCACGAGAGCGGTTACGGGCCATTGAGCCCGCTTAGGGCGTTCAGCCGGACTCGCCCGAGCGAAGCCCACGATTGACCGGATTGGGCTGGAGGTAGCGTGATCGAGCCAGATTGGAAAGAATCATGCCGGGTCGGGCCGGTCTTCGACCACGGACATACACCACTGCCTAGGCTTAAGTCGGGCCTGTCCTCCTACAGTGGGATTTTGCACGAAAGCCGCAAAACACAAAAAATACACCGAAATAGTCAAAGAAAATTTTAAAATAGCCACCGGACTAGTTTTTGAGTATTTTTGGAATACTCCTCCTGTAGAGGGACGTGCCCGACTTAAGCCTAGGCCGAGCGAACTTCCCAGCGCCTGCATCCCCAGGACAAGGGAACACGCCGACGGGCTGCCAGAGGCGGCGTGTCATACATCCTCTTCTTCGGTGGCAACTCGTGGGAGCCTCCCAGGCCCTCTTGTCGGCTCTTGCGAATCGACGCCAATCGACGCTGGCCGACACGACTCGAAGCCAAATCGACGCGGAATCGACGCACATCGACCCCAACCCGACGCTACGTCGGCGCTATCTCAGCGCCTCCCAGACGCTACTTGACGCCAGGGACGGCACTGAGATGGTACACCCTGGCCATCGCTCGGACGTCCATTCCCTGTGTTTTTGTCGGTGTCGTGCGCGGCTTTTTGTGCACTCTTCTGCCCGCGCGCCTTGTCGGAACCCCGGCTCAGTGGCGGCAGTGATGCCCAAGCGCCGTGTCAAAGGCTGGCGCATAGCAACTTCTGTACAGTGCTGTAACTTTTTATCTGCCAATGCGCCGTTGGAGCGCCGGGCTTGACTGACTGACTGACTGATCCAGGATGCTCCGATAACGATCACAACGGTAACAACGATCAATGCTTTTCTCCTGCTGTACTCGCTGGGCGGGCCTTTTTTGTCCCGTGTCACGTGCTTCCAGCGAGCACAGCAGGAGAAAAGCATTGATCGTTATCGTTGTGATCGTCGATCGCTGTCATCGTCATCGCTGTTCTCGTTGTGATCGCTGTGATCGTTGATCGTTGTCGATAGCCCCCGCCGAGCAAGAGTGCACACGTCCTCCTCCTCCTCCTCCTCCTCCTCCTCCTCCTCCTCCTCCTCCTCCTCCCCCTCCTCCTCCTCCCCCTCCTCCTCCTCCTCCTCCTCCTCCTCCTCCCCCTCCTCCTCCCAGGACCCCAGGCTCCCCCGAGCCGCTGCCGCAGGATGGGCCCCCCCACGGCGGCGAGCCGGGCCACTCTTGGATACAAAAGGGGCCCCAGGACGCACACACAAAGCAATGCACACAAATAAAACATATCCCCCATACACCCTGCGAAATGCTTAAGAAATCATGGGTTAAGAAATTCATAGTCTCAGAACTTGAATAAAAACCCAACATTTCTATTCAAAGCTTAGGATTTGCATTGAAACATTAAGAATAATCGAGACTCTGGCCGAAAATTTAAGTTTTCTTAAGCATCGCCTAAGGTGTAGTTTCCCATGTTTCCTGGGCTTCTGTCTTCCCGCCCACTTCCCACACTTTCCCATCTGTTCTGCGGAGTCGAGGATGAGTTGTGTCTGTGTGTTTTTTTTTCCTCTCCTGATTGGTCTTGCTCCCCAGGAGGAGGAGGAGGAGGAGGAGGAGGAGGAGGAGGAGGAGGAGGAGGAGGAGGAGGAGTGTGTATTTTCTCCTCTCGTGATTGACCTTGCTCCCCCCCCCCCGAGCCTCGGCACGCCGAACCCGCGACACGAGGTCCGTGCTGGTGTCGCGCAGGACGCGGCGGCACACCCGCCCGACGGTGCCCTCCACGTCCAGCACGGTCAGCTGCCACAGGGCGCCGGCGAGCAGCGGCAGCCGCGCGTCGACCTCGAGGCAGGAAGGATTGGCGGCGCGCAGAGGGGTAAAACGACGCGAAGATCGGGACAAAATCGGATCGGGATAGCTCGAAATCTCTGAGAATCGGCGGGTTTGGAAGATGTATTGGGCGCCGCGGCCGCTCCAGAGCGTTCCGGAACGCTCTGAGAGCGCTCCGGAACGCTCTGGAGCGATTTATCCCGATCCTAGCCATGTTTTAAGGGGGGTAGGGGGAGGGGGGAAGGCTTCTTAGGAGGAGGCTGCTTCTCAGAAGGCGCCGGCCTTGCATTTGTAGACGAGGCCCGCGCCTTCTAAGAGGCAGGGGTGCTTCTGAGAAGCCTTCCCCCCTCCCCCTCCCCCCCTCTGCGCGCCGCCAGAAGGAGCCACACTCTGTATACCGACGAGCTTCCCGGCCCCGCACGAAAGCTCGCACTGGAACGCGGCTCCCGGTGTATACGGGATCCTGGTGTGTGCATGTGTGTCGCAGTTTCCCCGGAAAGCGGGGGCAGAAGTATGCAACACACGACGCCGACGTCGACCACGACCCTCGAGAGGTCCTGGGATTGAGAAACGGCCCTCCACTGGTCATGGAGATGCTCCAGTTTCCGACTCTGGGCAGGCAGGAGCCTGGGCCGGGACCAAGTCGCACCAGGACGAATCCGGGACTTCTGAGATCCGGCGGTTCTGGAGAATGGAGAGGCCGCGCTGTGCTCTTAGACCATGGGCGATGTATTTGCATGGAGGGGGGGGGGGGGGGGGAAAGGGGGGGGGAGGGGGGCGTGGCGAGGCCCGAACGGAAATGGAGCTTTCACGCAAGGCCGCTTGCGGCGCGCCTTCTTGGCCCAGCGCAGCTTGAAAAGGCGGCGGGGAGGAGAAGCGGTGTGTACGTGTGTGTGCGTGCGAGAGAGAGAGAGAGAGAAACAAAAAGAGAGAGAGAGAGAGAGAGCGTTTGTGTGTGTGCGTGAGTGGACCGATTTTTCGCTGTGCTGCATTTATTGTTGTGGCATTTTTTTCGGGAAGGGGGGGGACCGACATGCCATGCAAGTAACCTTGCCTGGGTCTCAAAAGCGAACACCCTCGTGTCGGACGCCGCGGCCCATCCCAGAGCGAACCAGAACGCTCCAGAGGAGCGTCCCGGACGGAACGCTCCGAGAGCGACCCATCCTCGTCCTAGCCTCAGGTCGGGCATGTCCTCCTACAGGCGGATCTTGGAGAACAGGAACAAAATCAACAACTATCCAAACATGCTCAACACAAAAATATCGAAAGATCGTCCCCAGACTGGGCGCCAGCGGTAAACCGCCAACCAGGTTACCGCCAGGGACCTCGTAGAGCTCCTTACACGCATCAGAGTGCTCTCAATGCAGACAGAAAGCTTCCTGGAACATCAGCTTGAAAACTCAAAATATACATTTTTTACGGTTTCACCACGAAGTCTGTTCCGCCTAGTGTTTTGATTGTACAGCAGCTAGAGACCTGAACATTTTACCAGTGAGCGCGAAAAAATCTATTACAGGTGCGAAGGCTCTTCATTCTGGAAACGAATTGTCAAATCTCTCATAATTCCCAGACAATCGGTCCCCGGAATGGAGTCGATAGAAATATTATGGATGAAGCCCTGAGGCTTTGACCAGCGAGCGCAGCGTGATCCAATGCTCAGCTCAAAAATCTTGGATTTCAAAATTAATTTTCAAGTCTCTCATAACGTTCGAAAAACCGAGCCCAGGTCACCACAAACTGCATTCTGGCCCGATCGGCAAACTAGCTCCACCCTGCCGCGGAATTCCTCTAGCTCTGGTCGAACCAAGAGCTCAACGAGGTACTATTTGTTTGGAGGGACGTGCCCGACTCAATCCGATCCCCGCACGATCTGGGCAAGGCGCGTCGGCCCAGATCGGAGCGCGCGTCGCATGAGGCCGCAGGCGGCGCGGAACGGAAGCAGCAGCGCCATGCGAGCATCAGGCCGCCCAGGATCATGGGCACATCTGTGAATCGGATCGGCCCACCAGCATCGATATCGGACTCACACAGACAAACACACACAAACAGACACACACACAAACACACACACACACGAAGCCGCACCTGGACGGCGCAGTGGCACAGAGTGGCTACGAGCTCGCACGGGCGTAAATAAAAGTCTAAGACAAGTGCCCAACCCTTCCGAAAAGAGTCCGTTCGGCGCCGAATGGAATTGCATTCGGCGAATCTTCGCGCAAGGGCCGGATGGGCTCTGATCTGCGTGAGCTAAACGTGTAGAAAACACTGCAAATAGTAGGTCGCGTCGCCGGATGGACTCTCTTTTCGCCAGACGGACTCCCTTTGCCGGATGGGCTCTGTTTTCTCGCCGGATGGATTTTTGAAAAGAGAAGACCATTCGGCGCGCCGGATGGGCTCGAATGACAGCCGGATGGGCCCTCTTCCAGCCAGATGGGCTCTATCCCGCCGGATGGGCTCGAACTCCGCCGGATGGGCTATGTGGAAAGGCTTCGCCGAATGGACTCTTTGAAATCCGAAGTGCGTTTTTTTGAGAAAGCAGAAGCGATTCTCATGTTTTGAATGCCCTCGCTCCAAACACATCGCATCCTTATGCTGGCGCCTCTCGGGCGCACTTGGCGCTCGGCGCTCCGGCGCATCCCTTCAAATCTTCCTGTGCGCACGGACTGTCACGTGTGTTCCTCGTTGTTGCTTTGGCATGCCATTGGTACGCAACGTAGTCATGCGGGTGCTCGGTGGGGGGGTCCCAAACAAACGTAGAATGAATCCGCGTCTTTCCCTCAGGATCCGCGAAGGATTCCCAAGGATCCCTAGGGGTTCCCTGGGGATCACCCCCATCCCTCGCGCCAAGGCGCCAAGGATTCCTACGGTTTCCCTGGGGGCCACTTCAAGGTTCCCCAAAGACCGCGAAGGTTTCCTAAGGAATCCGCCCAGGAACCGCAAGGATTCCTAGGGCTTCCCTATAGGAATCCGCGAAGGATCCCCAAAGGTCCTTAGGTTTTCTCGAGGGTGCCGCTCAGAATCCCGAAATATTCTTGGGGGGATCCGCTAAAGGGCCCCAAGCTTCCTTAAGGATCTGGTGAGGATCCACAAGGATCCCTCGGGTTTCCCCTGGGACCGCTAAGAATCCCTAGATCTTTACGGTGTGGGGGGCGCTAAAGATCCTAAAGGGTCTTAAGGCTTTCCTCAGGGAACAGCGAAACATCCACACGGATCCCCAAGGTTCCATCAAGGTTCCGCTAAAGATCCCGAAAGATCAGTGGGCCCCCCCTTAGATCTGCTAGGGATCCTCACTGATCCCACGGATTTTCCTAGGGAGAAGGGTCCTGAGGATCCGCTGAGGCGGTGGCGTGGCAGTGGCGGGCTGCGGGGTTGCGGGGCAGTGGCGTGAGGTCGCGGGTTCGTGGGGCGGCGGGGTGACATGGCGGTGATGTGGTGGGTGGTGAGGTCGCGGGGTCGTGAGGACTTGTGGTCGCGGGATAGGGTCGCGGGGTGGCGGGGTGATAGGGTCGTGGGAGCGCATGGTGGCATGGGGTCGCGGGGGTATGGGGGCGCGAGGTCGAGGGGACGTGCAAGCAGCGCGCACAACGGGGCTATCCGCCGAATGGACTCGGATGCCATGATGGTCATTTTGCCAGCCTGATGGGCTCAAATGCCGCCGAGGATGGATTCTAACTTGGCGCCGGATGGACTCCAACGCCGCTGGATGGACTCTATCGGTTCGCCGGATGGGCTCTGTTTTACGCCGGATGGACTCCTTTGTCGCCGGATGGGCTCTAATCTCGAGAGTCCATTTGGCGCAGGATGGACTCTATCTTTTTTTGTTGGACGGTTTGTGGGCACCTCCCACGCCGCGCGATCGATGGAGTCTCTTCGGCGCGCCGGATGGGCTCCTTTCGGAAGGGCCGGGAACTGCGGGTTGTTGGAGCGGGATCCGGCTGAAACAACTACGCACTAGACTGCGTATTTCTGACGCCAGATCCGGCTTCAGAAACGCAGCGCTGTTGAAGCGGGACCCGGCTTGAAAAAGCCTGAGCACAGGCATGCGACGTCCTGATTTTTTCAGGACGGCGTCCCCAGAGGTCCCGGTGCACCCTTTCCCCGGGACCGGCTTTTCGTCCCGAATCGTTTTTGGACGGTCCCGAGACCCGGCGAGGCCCCCCCGAGGCCGAAATTGGCCAAAAACCCAGCGTCCTGTTTTTTTTTGCGCCGCGACCATGTCCGGGAAAAAGAACTGCGTGCTTTCGAAGCCGGATCCGGCTTAAAAAAACACGCAGCTCCCTCGCGCGCCCTGCCGCCTGGGAGTTAACGGGCGAAGAACGGTATAAAATAAGCTTTTTCGCTGTCGGGGGCGCCTGTCCCTGGCCGGCTGGAGAAATCATGCCCTTACGGTGGCACCGTAGGGGTATAAACTTTCCAGCCGCCCAGGGACGGGCGCCCCCGACAGCGAAAACAAAGATTTGTTCACCGCTCTTCGCTCGCTGACCGGTCTTCGGGCCCGGCCGGGGCCTCCGGGTGCTCCAGGTACAGGTGCGAGGCGCCGCGCGGCCTCTGCGTGGAGGAGGTGCCCTCGCTGGCCTGCCGGGGCAGAGCGAGGCACGCCGCCCGGGGGCCCCCGCGCGGATGCGAGGAATCCGCGCGCGGACCTCCGAGTTTTCGTGCTGATGCCACTGCTTGCCTTCCCAAGATTTGTCCTCTCGCTTTCGGGGTCTTCGGGGAAAAAAACTGCGGCCCTGGGATGCACAGAGACGTACTGATACCGCACGCCCTCCTGGGAGGCGCGCGTCCGACCCGCACACGCGTCGTGTCCCGAGCGGCGTGGCCAGAAAGCGCCCGCCACGACGCGTCTACTATAAGAGTTCTCGGTGCGCGCGTCGCCCCGCGCGTCGCCCCCGGGGGGGGGCGACGCACATACAGTAGTAGCATGTTGGGGCGACGCCGATGCCAAGGGGGGCTCAGCACCAGGAGGGTCACCACCTCCTCCCGTCAGTCGAGGGTGGGGGAGGAGGGGGGGGCTACAGATCGAGGCCGGCTTCTGGGCGTCTCTGTCAAGGTGACTGTCCCCCTGGTTGAGGATCGTTCAACCGATCCCCATCCCCGCTGACAGGGCGGGTCCCAGATCCGATGGGCGGCTCCATGAGGGCCCAGGTGGGGTCCGACAGGGCCCAGGCCCCTTCGGAGGGCGCCCCGGGATTGCTTCGAGGACTTGCGCGACGACGTCGGGGAGGAGGAGGAGGAGGAGGAGGGCCTTGGCCCACTTGAGTGACCCCCAGGTGGCGATATATGCCGATCCCTTCGGGTCTCGAGGGGCACGTCGCCACCCTGGTGGGCCTGGGGGCGCCGAGGTGCCATCGCCCCGTGGGGATGGGGATCGGTGACCCTGCGATCCGACGCTGCAAACAGATTGCAACGTCGCGAGCAATCACGACCATACCCCTAGGTCTGAGCTTTCTGCGGCACTTCTCGAACCAATGATCGTCCTGGGATCCGGAACCGGGCGAAACCGACGAGTGTGAAACAATCGGAACACCCGGATCTCAGCGTAGATGATGCTTGGACTACCCCTCGGGGTGCTAATCGGGTAGAGGTATCCAAGTGGCTGCCCTAATGGGTTACACCTGGCTGACCTAGCTTATAAGTGGACTGTAAATACTGTGAGCTGCTTACGGGGGGGCGACACAGATCTGGGCGAAGTGGACGGGGCCTACTCCAACCCTTTGAGAGCCCCCGGGGGTACACCCTGCGAGATGCTTAAGAAATCATGGGTTAAGAAATTCATAGTCTCAGAACTTGAATAAAAACCCAAAATGTTCATTCGAATCTTAAGATTTACATTGGAACATTAAGAATAATCAAGACTCTGGCCGAAAATTTAAGTTTTCTTAAGCATCGCCTAAGGTGTACGTGCAAATCATGTACAAGCTGGGCTCGGCCAAATACCCCCCACAGTGCCGTGAGGTACACGCTGGAGCGGCCTCAGGCCCCCTGTGGTCCACAGTCCCCAGTCCTCAGCCCTCAGAAGGGGATGTCAAAGAGACCATACTCCGAATTCTGAACGTTCCGGGGATTCCTGGTAGGCGGGTGGCGGGGTGGACCGAAAGCCAATCAATCTGCCGCCGTGGCTGGCCACATGCGTGTCCGAATGGTCTTAATTCTCTTAGACAACTCACGGTGCGGTCTCGGCCTGACGCGATGGCCACCCGACGGCCTGGGAAAAGACGCGCCCAATGGTTTTTCCAATCAAGACGGCCGCAGGAAGGCCTACGAGACGGCCAGGATGGCCTCCAAGATGGATCAGAGGGACCCAACAAAATCCAAGGTGGCCGCAAGATGTCGCCAAGACGGCCCAATATTCACAGTAGACGGCCTGACATGGCCTCACGATGGCCCAAGGCTGAACGAGGCATCCAAGAGGTTCTTTCGGAAGGCCCGACGATGCCCAACTCATGAAGTATCCTGAAGCTTTGACGGCCGAATAAGTCCTCAAGATCACCAAGAGGCCCGAAGACGGCCATATCACGACCCAAGAGGCCCCAAGACGGGCCCAAGAGGGCTCCCAAACGGCCCAAGAGGCCCACACAAGACGCCCAAGATTCCCTCCGAGCAGCCCTGAAGCGCTCAGTAAGGCCCCAAGACTGCACAGAGAGGCCCCCAAGACGGATTCCGACGGCGTCAGACGGGCAACGAAGCCCCCGAGAAGCCCCCAGGGGCCCCCAAGAGGCCCAAGGAGGCCCCCAAGAGGCCTTCGGTAGGCCCCGAGGGCGCTCCCAAGAGGCTCCCCGAAGTGCCCAGAGAGGCTCCCAAGAGGCCTGAAATCATTAAGTTGGTCAGTGGCTCCTCCCTGTCACCGCACTCGTCTGAACGCTGCGCACAATCGCCTTAACACGTTGCACTAGTTTCACAGATGGAGGGCGGTTGCTTTTCAAAATGTTGCTCTCGCTGTAGCACCACACGCATTCGTTTCCAGTGTTTACAGCATGTCAAAAGATTCGCAGGGTTACCGCCCCAATGCTGCGGCACGATGTCGGACTGCCAGGGCGAAATAATCATGTCAATTCGTAACGTTGAAATCCCACGAGTGATGTTCTGGCGCGATTCCAGACCGTAAGGGCGTAGCAGAAAAGTTTATATGTGGCGTGTTCTTATCCCAGGGATTTTTTTTGCGAATTTCAATATCTTCAAACGGTTGTCTTCCAACGGGGCACTTCCCTCAGTGAAAATGAACCGTTGTAGGGGCCTGTGAAGAAGGAGTTTGGTGGGAAGGTTGATTGCAATCTCGATGATGAGCCTTGGGTTTGCGCTGGTCCTCCTGCTCCTCGTCCTCCTGCCCCTCCTCCTCCTCCTCCTCCTCCTCCCTTTCCTCCTACTCCTTCTTTTCCTCCTCCCTCTCCTGATGCTCTCCCTCGTCCTCCCCCCCAACTTGCTCAAGTGTTTCCACTACGGCTCGGGGAACACATAATCCGATAGCTCGTCCAAGCTGTGGCCACAAGGTTCTGCCACATCGGCGCTTCCAAACAAGGATTAGGCTGGGTCGGGGAAAGTATAACCCACATTCGCATCCGCGTGCAACCCCACATTTCCTTCTCACACTTGTCGGGGAGACGTAAGACCCGGGTACGGGGGACTCGGAAATCCCCGACGAGGTCGTCAAAAAAATGACGAGGCCGAGCCTGCATTTTGACGAGGCCTCCCGCTGCAGACATCCCACGAAACTCCTCCTCGTCAAAATCCGTGGCGCGGTCGTCAAAAAACGATGGCGAACCCGAGTCCCGGCAAACCCGGGTCTTACGCTCCCCCGACATTTCCTTCTCACCCTTGGCGGTGATGCTAATACGGATTCGTGGTCGCCCTCCTCGGTCGTGGCCCCGGGGGCTTCGTGGGCCCCGGAAACGGCAAGGCAGTTTTTTCACCGTTCTCAAAAAAATGTCCCCTGGAAATGGAAACGGCAAAAAAACGGCGACCGGAAACGGCAAAAAAACAGCTCCAGGACTGGAACCGGAGCCGGAACCGGTCAAAAAACTGCGACGGAACCGGTAAAAAAACGGCGTCGGAACCGGCAGCAAAAACGGCAAAACGGAACCGGTAACAGAACGGCCCTGTCGTTTCCAGGGCCCACTATGCCGGGGGGTGGGTGTGAGGCCCCGGGTAAGACTGACGCGTGAGCGGGACGTCGGAGCGGGGGGGGTGCGCTGCGATCGCCACAGTGTGCGCGCGAGCGCCAGCCAGCATGCGCGGGGGCATCCGGGCCCCCCCCCATACTTGGGCGCCCGAGTTATCCGGGGTAACTCGGGTCCGGGGTAACTCGGGTTTGGATTCCCGAGAAAGCAACCCGAGTTAGCCCTGACCCGAGTTACCCCTGATGATTCGGGGCTCTGGACGCCCGAGTTATCCGGGATAACTCGGGTCCGGGGTAACTCGGGTTTGGATTCCCGAAAAACGAACCCGAGTTATCCCTGACCCGAGTTACCCCTGATGATTCGGGGCTCTGACATACATACGATCGTTACCTTTGCCCATGGGGAGGGGGGGGGGTTCGCCCCGGTTGCGACCAGTACGCGCCACAGGACACAACACACAATCCCTGAGGGGCGACCCTTCGGTGGCAACTCACGGGAGCCTCCCAAACCAGCTTGTCGGTGGTCGCGAATCGACGCCGATCGACGTTAAATCGACGCTAACCGACGCTACGCTAAATCGACGCTCGTCGACGCGAAAACGACGCTACATCTGCGCTATGTCATCGGCTCCCAGACGCTAGTCGACGCTAGTCGACGCGAAAAACGGAATCGCGAGGGTGCACAAGACCCCCAGGATTTGCCACCGAACCAGAGGACACCGCACACAGTCCCTGAGGGGTGACCCCAGGACTTCCTTTGGTTTTTGGCGTGGGAACGTCACGCCTTCCGTCGCAAAACCATGGAAACCCAAGAAACCCAGGGCACCCTAGAGGCAAGCAGGTTGTTTCTTGGCATGGGTCTCCTCTGTACTGTAGGGGTGGCCCCCCCTCGGCATGGGCCTCCACCGTAGAGGTCACTGCTCCAGCGATTGGGCATCAATGGGGCGCGCTAGATGCAAATTGGGACGCGGTGCGCGGGGGAAGAGGAGGAGACCCCGGCGCAGGCGGGAAGAAGGGAAGCCGGGCCCGCTGAGGCAAGCCCCGGCAGCGGCGGGGCGGGCGCCGGGGGGGGGGGGGGAGCCAGCCGCGACGCCAGGCAGCGGCTGGGGAGAAGGCAGCCCGACGGGAAGAGGGCACCACACGTAGTCCCTGAGGGGTGACCCCCCCCTCTTGAGCAGGGACCGGCCGTCCCGGCATTCCTCTTGTCCTACCACGAAATCTTCGTAGAACCCAAACATGTCCTAATAACAAAAGCATGACTGTCTTCGAACATACGCCCGATGTGAGAAAACAAGACCGACTCCGCCAGAGATGTTCTGAGAACGCTTCGCGGGAACCACAACAAGGTTCTTAGAACATTGCTTGGTAGGGGCTATAGGCGAGCCAGGACGCTTCGCCACTGCCTGAGACCCTCGGCACTGCCCGAGAGCCTTGTGGATGCCACGGCAACAGACACACTAACCGTCCTACCATTGGCATTATAATGTGCTTACCATTTCGGGAACATGCTCGAAACATCTGTTGTTTTAGACATGTTTTTTAACAGGTTCAAAACCTGTGTTTCTTGCGCGTGCTTTAGACCTCTGGAAATGGTTTGGCAACGTGCCTCCTCTCCCTCGCCATCGCTCGGACGTCCAGTTCCCGTGCATGTTTCGGTTTCGTACGAGTTTTTTGCTGCTCGATGGTCCAGGAGGGTCCTCGATGGTCCTCGCCGAGAAAAAATGCCCACGTCCGAGCGATGCCAAGCTCCGCTGGCCGCCCTCCGCGGCGCGAGCCTGCTCCTCCAGGCGCGCCAGGCCGTGCAGGGACAGCAGCGCGCGGGCCCCCACGGCCACCGCCCGCGCCTGCTGCGCCAGCAGCCGGGCCCGCGCCCGGGCCTGCGCGGCCTCTCGGGGCGGCGCTCCGCTCGGCGGGGGGCGATCCCTGGAAGGGGCCCCATGACACCCAACGAAACACACACACACACACGCACACGCACACACACACACACACATACACACACACACACGCACGCACACCCACCCACCCACACCCACACCCACACCCACACCCACACCCACACCCACACCCACACCCACACCCACACCCACACCCACACCCACACCCAGACGCAAACGCACACGCACACGCACACGCACACGCACACGCACACGCACACGCACACGCACACGCACACGCACACGCACTCGCACACGCACACGCACACGCACACGCACACGCACACGCACACGCACACGCACACGCACACGCACACGCACACGCACACGCACACGCACACGCACACGCACACGCACACGCACACGCAC